GTCCCACTCAGTTGAGAGAAACTGCGTGGCTTAGTAACAGAAATTCTGGCCCAGTTGAGGTCATCATTTGAGGACCATCTGTGTTGCCCCTATATTCTGCTGCTCTAAACAAAGGTATGTCTTTATGTCTTAAATGAAGATGTATTACACTGAATTGTAGTTCCTATTCCCTTCTTTTTCTCATTTTGTTTTATTGCTTTGCTTTCACTGTTGTGTTGATTTTTCTAGTGGTTCTACACAACCCAGAGTCTCATGACTGGAGCAATCTACCAATTTTATAAATAAATCCATGGATAAATAAATCAAGAGACACAACCTCCTAAATAGTTATATTTTCCTTTCCACGCAGGCTTTCCTGATAGATTGGTATTCTGGGAATTGCTATGTGTTCTGGAAATGAGATATCACTGTGTCTTCCAGTTGGACCAGTCTAAGCAGGACTGGAAAAAGCATGTAGAAGATAAAGAGACAGAAGAGGCTTACAAGATTTACAAGTTTGGAACAGAGAAGTTTAGATACTAAGGCAGGTCAGTGCTCAGTGAGTGAATTTTGTCTTCCTTTCCTAGTAGACTTGAGAAAGATAATATTCTCAAAAAATTGAAGAACCAAATTGAAAATAAGGATAAAAAAAACCTGAAGGTATTAAAAATAGAGCATGTTCAACAAAGTTCCAACACGTTTATACCCATATTTCAGAAATACGAAGGTTTGATGATCTAAAACCTTTGCATGTGCCAAATTACAAACTATGCATTTCCAATTAAGTTATGCTATGTTAATATTATGCAATATTACAATAGCAGTGTTAAGAAATCTCCAAAGTATTGTATTCCTTCCCTTCTCAGTGAACCTATATTGTATTCCTTGAAAATCACACTGACACAACTCTTATTAACTACGTATATTGTAGTGTAGTATACCAAATGCCAGTAATGAATAAACATCCAATTCTAAGGATACAGTTGTCTGGGAAGTTGCAAATAAAAACACTAAACATCATTTGCAATACTGAATTACAATAAACTTCACCGTGGTTTTGATACCAATTCTGAAGCTTATGACTATTATTGCTATAAGGTACAAACACAGTTATATTTTAGACAGATAAATTACACATTAACACTCAATTTAAAAAAAATGGTGGGGGGGAAGATACCTTCATGTCAGTTTTTTGATTCCTCATGACTGCCTGGACAAGGCCAATAACATCTACCTATCTCATGTCCTTGGGAAGAACTCAACTGGTGATAAAAATGCCAAATTCATTCCAAACATCTGGCTGATTATGCAAAAAATCTGATAAGTGGACAAAATGCTAAATCTGATTTAAACACCTGGATGACTGTGCAATTAACCATAATTTATTAAACTTCTGTTCTGCCTGACCCTCAGTGATTCTGAAAAGTGGATAACTCTTAGAATGTTCCAATATCTCAGCTGATTATACTCTAGTTGCACTTTATATGTGAGGATTTGAATCTAATATTCATCTTTTCTAAGCATTTCTAAAATGCCACAATGAATCTTTTTTGAAGTCTTCCCCTTTTTATACCTCCATTTGTCTTGACTTTAAAATAGAACACAATAAAAAGTCAAGCTTTAACCATCTACTAACATTTCTGAAACAACTGTGAACAAGGAAGAATTCTTCCTAATTTATACTTTAATACAAGGTAAGTAGCTTAACTTGTTTTAGCTTAGCTCTATTTTCCTCAGTTCCACATTTTAATTCTATGACAAGTTCACAAACTATTCTTTCCAAGACAATATAGTAATATATACATTTCCCCACAAAATATGCATATCTTGCCTCTCTTAAAAATAGTCATGCTATTAATTCATGAATCATGCACCTCTCTCGTATGAAATAAGTATCTTCATTTAAATAAGAAGAAAAGGCTTAAAAGCTAGTATCTCATTTACAACTACTATTTTTTACTATCTTTTGAGAACTACCATTCTCAAGTCACAGGGGTGACTTTCAAATTCCTAAAGACTGGAATTACATCAAAATGAAGCAAGCAGTTAGAGCAGATTGTCTGCACAGGAAGAATCCTGCAATGGCCAGGATCACTCAGCCAAGACCTTGCTGAATTAAGCACCTAAATACACTTAAAGTAGAACTGAAACAGATGAACATTTTTCATCCTTCAACATAAACTATATATTAACTTCAATATTAAACTATATAGAAACTTCAATATTAACTACACTCTTGCAAAATTAGTTCATGTTTGCTTGCTTTAATTTATATCCTCAGATTAATTATATTTCTCAATGGGGCAACTTATTCCTTATGAAAGCTTTAAAAGTTTCTTGTTCTGACCGAGGCTTTCCAAGATCATGAAGTAGACTCCTCATCCCCATAAACCCCTTTTATTTAGGTTAAAGTGAATTCCTCTCCAGCAAAGTCCCAGCAAACAATCTTGCATGAGATTTCACAACTACAGGCCTTTATCAGGCTTGGAGAGTTGCCAAGCTGATATCTTTCAAACGCCAAGCTGGAGCAGCAATTACTTGGCAAGAAGTCACTCTAATGAATTGAACTAATTGTCTCCTGCAAACACCAGTCCCCTTTTGCTCCTCTTTATTCCCCATGGAGGGGCCATTCACCATCCACCTGAGCCTTTACTCCCAAGTCGACCCTCGTTCCTTAACTGTTTTCTTCTCCTGGCAGCTCTGCGCATGCACACACTGAAACAGGCTCCAGCTGTTCTTCTGCCCCACTGATATCTGACTCCGAAGGCAGCTGATAACTGTCAGACAGCTCTGGCCCCATCTCTGCCTCAGAGCACTCGTCAGAGCCTTCCCAACTCCAGGACTGGCCCATGTTCCTCCCCCAACCTCTTCACTGTCTGAGTCTGCCGCCAGCTCTGCTGGCCGCTGGTGGGCCACAACTTCTTTAGGTTGCATGCATGCATTCACATTTACTGAATGCATGCATTCACATTTATTTGCTATAAAAATGTATAAACTGTTTCATGACCTGACTCTAGGCCAGGGCTGTGAAACTCACAGGCCAGATGTATCACTTACTGGCCACGCCCATGCCCCATTTAGCAAAGGGGGGAAAAGTCCTGATATGTCACATGACACTGCTGTTACGACGTGAGTCTGACACCTGTGCTCTAGGCAGTCCTAGGCAGCAATCAAATACTATATTTTTCACTCTATAAGATGTATCTGACCGTAAGACGCACCTAGTTTTAGAGGAGGAAAATGGGCAATGACAAAGACAGAAGAGGCGGGGTTCAGCACTGTAAAAGGATCCCGCCACTGCCACAGCCCGTATTTTTCACTCCATAAGACATAGACATTTCCACCCACTTTTGGTGAGGGAAAAAGTGAGTCTTATGGAGCGAAAAATATGGTAATTCACAACTTAATCCATTTAAAAGATCTACTTGGCAGCCCATCTTAAGCAATTATATATGGCTCATAGCAACAATAAGACAGTAAGAAATATAAAGTATAAAAGTACTATAATCTTCTGCTAATCTTCATGTATTAAATTACCTTCTTTGCAGGTAATTTAAAATACAATTAAGTATGGCAGTTCTTCCTTAACTACCTGGTTTAAATGGTCAAATTCTGTTTGAGAAGTATTTGAGAGCTATTTCATCTGGTGAAATTCAGCTGAACGACAGCTGGATCAGAAGTAACAATTATGGAGAGCTTGTAAGTGAACATCTAGTATTGCTGACGTGAAGAAATCTTTTTTTCTCCTAACTCCCCACCCACATTGTCAACATATTAGGGTTAATCTGAAAAACTTGTGACAGAAAGAAAGCAAACAATTGTAAGGGGTTTGGGAAACTAGGAGTGCCTGTTTGGTTTTTACTTAACATTTCTCATCACAATGTTCAGTCCCATTGGCTGTTGAAATTCAATATCTGCCCAGTCATCATCACAGTTTTATAAAGGGGAAATAGAAAATATATAGGACAGGATCTGTTTTCCTTTCAGGATTACAAACAATGAGGATGTGACAAAAAGAATCACAAGCTTATTTTAGTCACTTTCAAAATTTGTCACCTGCGCTGCTTATAATTTAACTGCACTGTCCAGGATGTGTATTTAATTATAATTTAGAGACTAATTTACCCCTGAGAATGCTTGATGCATGGGTATTATAAAAATGTATGCTCATAACTTGAAGAGTGTTTCTAACAGAGGTAGCAATTTCATCTAAATTAGGAACATTAGAAATCCAATTTTCATAGTAAAAATATCTTTGTATACCTGGCCACTCTATAATAACAAATGGAGTTTCTACAGTCACTGAAAAAATGTAAATATTTATCTTTTCCCGCATTATACACAATTTCAATTTATTTTTATATTAAACATGTTATGTAATTGACTGCCACTTAGTCTGCTATTTAAGCAAGAGTTAAGCACCCATGCAAAGAGAAGTATTACTCATTTCATTTATTATCACCTATAGCCAAAACAAGGCTATAGAGGATGCTAAAAGCAAGCTGAAGAATGAATCTAGGAATTAAATACTAGAGAAATTTACAGTTTGTACTAAATCCAAAAGTGGAAAATCATTAAAAATCAGTTCTCCCCTTTTCATCTTATACAAAAAAGCCTCTGTGATTAATGAGAGTAATGAGACAGCCAAGTTGGGTCACACAAGCATATTATGTTGTTTAGAATTATTTTTTAAAAAATGGTTATGCTTACATAGGAAGAATGATCATTACATGTTTAAATAGGAATCAGCAAGTGATGAACAAGTGGGCAAAAAAAAGTATCTAACATCACTTGTATAATAAATATTACTAGTCCAGAACATGAACCTTGCCTGGAACTTTGGAAGCAAGCTGGCACAAGTTTGATTTAAAAAATGCATTGTAATGTGCACCTGCTTCCAGAGTGTGGAAATTTGAGAGGCAGGAGGTGGGAAGAGAATTGGTTACTTATTTGTAAATAATGGCTTAATGAGCTGATATCCCAGCTACCAAATAAAAATCCTTCCATATGTGGAAGAAAGATCAAAATGGTATCTATGGACTGAAAAGGCGTCAACATTAACACTACAGCAAACAAGTGAGCAGTTCCAGACCAAAAATAAGAGATATAGCCAGGATCTTTCATGAATGATTTTTATCACTGAGGTAAGAAGAAACAAAATAGATAATACATGCTGTAACCTTACAGGGTAAATGAAATCTCATTGTTTCATGTGCAGAGGAAATACCAAACTATGATGCATCTAATACTGCAGGGAATACTGTAAACCAGGGGTGTCCAACCTTGGCAACTTTAAGACTTGTGGACTTCAACTCCCAGAATTCCTCAGCCAGCAAAGCTGGCTGGGGAATTCTGGGAGTTGAAGTCCACAAGTCTTAAAGTTACCAAGGTTGGACACCCCTGCTGTAAACTGTTATTTCTGGATAAAGTCTTAAGAGGATTTTCATTTGGCCCTTACAGAAGACTTTTAAGAAATAAACTGCTCTATTTTGTCCTCTCTACAGGCTCAAAGTCATGTTCAGAAATATTCCTGGCAGGTGAGACAGAACAGCTGAGACGAGCACATCTGAAACAGGTACACTGCTATTATAATGCAGATGATCAAATCTTTGGTGATCTTTACAGAAGGAGCAGGGAAATGGGCAGAAAGTTGTAGAAGAGGAGGTTCCTTTAAAAAAGGAGGAAAGAATTGCCTCTCCCACTTTTATTGCAAAAAAATTAAGCACAATCTGCTTTATGCAAGATCACCTTGAAAATGTCTCAATGGATTTTGATAAGGGCCATTACTGTTTGATATACTTTACATTGCTGGGTGGCTGATCAGCAAGGATGGTGTCATTTCTGAGTATAAGGATTGCCAGGATGAAGACAGAATGAAAAATATTCTATTGACAAATCTCTCATATTAAGAATAGAGATGGCCATTGTGCTACCAAACCGGTGTGGGAATTGTCCAGTATCGCCTGGACAGTTTGACAATGGAGACAGACCTAGAAGACTTGGAGTGCTTTCCAGATTGCTGAAGGCTCCAGTTAGATGATCTGCGACAATGTTTGGTACCTGGACCAATCAGCTTCAATGCAGAAAGCTCAGGGATGAACTCCCCTTCTGGACATGGATGTATTAAGATATATGTCAGGATGACAGGTGCTTTGTTTTTAGGGATTAGGATTTTATATATATTTAGCCAACATTTCTGGCTTCATTGCAAAACATTATATTCAATTATTTTCTAGCAACTAGGGTCATAAACTATAGAGACAGAACATACGTTGGCATCTTGTCTTCTAATACTTAATCTAGCTCATGACCAAATTCTTTCATATAGCTAATGTTATCTGTTGCTACATGGATTATGCAATTCAGCAAAGATTCACTAATTAATCTGCTATGGATTTGGTTTAAAACTAGGTAGCCAAGAATATTTATTATATATTTTATATAGCTATGCATTATTTATTTATTTAGCGTATGGCAATTGTAGTGTGAAGCTAATTCACATCCTCATGGTATATCCTGGATAGCACGGGAACGTGAACTAAATGAACTAACAACTGTTGGCAGCCAGACTACTCTGTAGACTTTCCTGACTCTCAAAATACATGCCAATGGAAACAGTATACAATAACTTTGGTTCCTTATTATTAGGAACATTATCTTTCCCATTAGTGATATTAGGAAAAGAATAAAACTAAATATGTGGCAAAATACCTAGAAAGCAGAGCAATGATATAGGCAGATTGGAAGGTTAGGAACATTTTAAGAAATAAGAAGTCTGATTTTTAGATCCCTATCCAATCTTATCCCTCTAATTAATTCAAGTTGTGAGAATATCAGTGATGGGAAGCAAAAGTGACAACTAGATTTATTACAGAAAGCTATTGTTCTGGTTTAGATGAAAATTCATTTAAGTCCTTTCCTGCATGACTGATATGTGGGTAATCCACCTTGCCATAAAAGCAACTATATTTTTCTTCTTGGAGACAACACAAATACATAATTCAAAACTGATGCTATAACATCTTGGATGCTTCGTCAGCAGCACATGTTCAACAACTAATTTATTTCTTAAACCTTGTATTCCTGGGGTAATAACCCCATAATTCCAACAAACCTCATCAATATAAAATTATGACTTAAAACAATCCTGTGATTTTCTTTTGGATATTGCATTCCTTTTTTAAAGAGTAATTAAACACGTTTTCATCTAAAGAGTAAATAAAATATAGCATTGCTAATGTTGTACCTGAAAATTTGGAAGAAGCAATTCCCAATCATATCACTATTATTACAAAAACATGCAAGGCCTGGGATAAACACTCTTTCGGTATTTCTTTTCTGGCTGTCTATCTCATCTCTGTGTTAGCAAGATGATACAATATTCAAAGAAATTAAGAGAACCTACTGGGCCACACTGTGAGAAGCAAACCGAGTCAGATGTGTTCTTTTTGTTGCCCAGATGGCAAGTTTTAAACACTTTCAGATCCTTGCACTGTATCCTGAAGATTATTGTGTAGCAGCTATGAAAAAACATATGATAAAAATGTATCTTATGAGGGATCCTGACAGAATATATTCATGAACTAACAGAACTTGGTAAAAAGGTCAGCCAATCAACAGGCATAGCAACTAAGTCAGCCAATGAGGACTGTTTGGGAAACTGAAACTAGAATTAGTCTAGGCTGGAAACTGAAACTAAAAGTAGCCTAGGCTTGGCTCTATATTAAGCTCTACAGCTACCTTGAGCTCTGAGTCTATCTATTGAAAAAGAAACTGCTACTCTCGTGTTCCTTGCCTACAGAACTTAAAGTAAAAGAGAAACTAATTTGCTGCTGTAAGTTGCTTGCAACATGTTTCTGTCTGAGTTTGCTCCATGTTGGAGAAATCTACAACTGGTTTGTAAAATTTACTTATTATGTTTATAGACATTAAATGAAGCACCAGCCATCTGTATTAATTTTTCTGGAGCTGAATTCACGCTGCAAAACTCTGAACAGATCCTTTGTGCTCTTTGAGCTTGGATCTTTTCTTGCAGATGTTTCATTGCTCAATCTAGGTAACATCATCAGTGCTGATGATTTTACCTAGTTTGAGTAATAAAGCATCTGCAAGAAAACAACCAAACTCAGGGAGAAGCAAGGACCCCTCATTTCAACCTGGAGCTACAAATATTCTTTTTAAAAAATATATATTTATTTTATTAGACACCTTGGAAAATGGAAAATAATGAGTAAAGTTTCAATTAAGATTGGTCAGGACTGTGTCCTCACACCTATCACAATAAGGAAAAAAAAAGATGAAATCAAGAATAACTTATGAAGATGACTGAATTATGTAGACTTTTCAAGCATCCACATATCAGCCACAAAATTCTCTTGTCGTGCCTTTGAAAAAGTTTTTCTATGGAGGGAGGAACAAGACACATTGGCCGTACCAATGTTCTGGAATAGATTAGGCAATACTATTGTCAACGTTATGATTTACTACAAAAATATCACCTCCATGGCCAAACTACTAAATGTTCATTCAAGGCTCTCAGTTTGGCAGCCTCCAAATTCAGTAGCAAACTAATGGAAACAAAAAACAAAATCGCCTTTCATGGTTCTTCCTCCTTCAAATCCTCCCAAGCAGCAGCACCACATTTTTTTCTATTATTTTTATATTTTGGGACCTACTGTAAAAAAAAGCTTTTGTTGTGATCAACCTTTGGTTTCTCAGTGGGTTATTAAGTGGCTCCATGAAAGAGATGGTGCAGATGCCATTTCTGACAAGAGACAAGAAAAAAAAAGAGGATTGAGAGAGACAGAAACAGAAAGAATATAAACAGAGAGGAACAAAGAAGCTGGTAGGTGGGAGCGCGGGTGGAGAATCTGAGGAACCTGGAAGGTCCAGTGGATGTGTTGCTAGAGCTAACTCAGCATAGCAGTGTCACTGGGTATTCCTCTAAAATGCTACAAAAAATATAAATGCCATTCTCTGAACATCGACCTGTATAACAACTTCACTAAAATATAGACACTTTTATTTTCAATAAAACCTGCACCTGAAAATCTTCCAAAAGATTATGTTCTAAGGGTTCTTTGTTTTTGTTTTGCGACTTCAAGTCAGCATTAATTTCTGGCAACCTTATAGTTTTCCTGGCAAGTTTTTCGGACATGGTTTGCCATCGTGTCCTTCCTAGGGCTGATAAGAGAGTAACTGGTCCAAGGTCACACAGTTGGTTTCATGCATAAAGTAAGACTAAAAATCACAATCTTCCAGTTTCTTGCCTGATGCCATAACCACTACATCAAATTCTCTGTCCCTCTGAGTTTTAGCAAGAGTGAATTTGTCCACTGATTTCTTATTCTTCAGAGTAACACTGTTTTATTATGCACAGTGAAAAAGTTCACTTTTTAAATATTGGTATAATTTGAAGGGGATTATAGCAAGTGCTAAATTAATATAAAAATCTTTGTCAGGAATCAACTAAGAATTGTGCAAAGGTAGAGTTGGAAGTTGAACCACTTCTGTACTTTGCAAATGTGTTAGAAAAAATGCACACTGTTGAATTGTAAAGAATCCTGAGCTAGCTGGATTTTGAGACTGCTGTTGATCCTGCCGCTATGCTTTCATTAGCATCCCAGTTAACCCCAGATCAGTTTGTTAATATGTGAATATGCAGATTATTCATATATCTCCAGTAAACTTTTCTCCAAGGAAAAATAATTCTGCAAGATTGCTTTGATCTTCCTGTGCTTTTACAAAAATAAGTACTTAGAAACAATAACAATATTGCATTGCATCATTGTAATGTATATTAATGTGTATTTAAAGATGATTGTGCTATTTTTTCCCTCTAGGTCTAATGGCGTGGGTGCTGGCATAGAGGAGGGAAATGTGAATATATAAGACCTGGTTTGCCTTCTTCATGTTCTGCATGAACATGCAGTCGCTTCTTTTCAGCTTTTAGAAAGTACCACCCTTTACACAAAGGATGCAGAAGATATATGACTGTTTCAAGTTTTAATTTAGCTATAAATGAAAGAAAGTATTTTTATATAGCTGCCTGCCGCTCCAGGACAAATGATAAGCTTAGTATTTTCCTACATATTGTGTGAGTCTGTTTGACATCCTCCTGAATCCACAGTGTTCTCTCCTTTAAAAATGTAGCCCAAGTCTTAACTTTAATCACATTTTAATAAAAGCTTAGTATAACTCTAAATCATACTGTAATTCTCTTATCTTACACATCCTGCTAATTAGTAGTGGAACTTAACAGGGTGCAAAGCTAAATGAATCCTACAAAGAATATAAATTATGCCTTGCATCATCCTAGAACGATCAAAGTGTAAATAAGAAACTGTTTCTCTGCCCATCAAAACTTACACTCTCTCACAGAAGAGAATCTTCATAAAAAACAAGTTCAGAATCTCATTGTGATGGTCTGGAAAATGATACAAAAGACAAAAAATGATTCAATGTTATATCTAAAGCAGTTAGACTGAAACTTATGTCCAGGTGCACCTCTTGGTAAATGGCTCAACCAGTACAACAGAGATTAAGAAACACAGCTGTATGTTTGCCACATGGGAACTTAATCCAGAATGGAAGCCTATATCTCTTTGCTGGCAAGTTGAAGATCTGCTGATTAAAGCAATGGAGTAAGCCTGAATTCATTTAGTCTGTGCCAAAGGCAAATATTTCCATATTCTTTTTTGTTGATTTTTATTTTACTGCTTGCACTACTTCTTGGCAAGATTGCAGAAGTGGCTTCCTTTGCCTTGTTCCCACCTAGCAGGCTTTGTAACAAAGGACTAAAACTGCTTGTTCCTGGTCTGATGCTTTAACATTCATACTAAACTGGCTCTTAATAGGTTTGTTAGTGACCTTATAAATGGTGACATCAGACTTATTTTTCTGCAACACACAGTGATCTGTTTGGAAGTAGTTTTATAAAAATATACTCAGAATTTTTCCTTCCTTCCTTCCTTTTCACTTGAGAGGTCATCATGTACATGGGAAGCAAGGGTGGGATGCTACCGGTTCTGCCCGGTTCTAAAGAACCGGTAGCTCTGAAGAGCAGCAGACACCAAACTGGTTCTGTGTTTGCTGCTGTTTGGCCCACCTGCCCATCTAGACTCTGTACCTGTCCTTTATTTCCTGCTTTTTCAATCTCAGCTGCTTTGCGCAGCATAGCTGAGGTTGAAAAAGGCAGGAAAAAAGAGGCTTTTCAAATGCTGTGCACCTGCACACAGTGCTTTTCAGTTGTTCGGGCGGCACACCTAAAGGTTTTTTTACACACGTGCACAGTGCGCATCTGGTGCATGTGCGTGCACAAAATATAATTACCGAACTGGTAGTAACACTGGTTGAATCCCCCCCCACCACGGGAAGCTTCCATCCTGAATTATATTAACAAAAATCCATGAGAGTATGATTGGTCCATCAGTCATACTCTCATGGATGTGTGATCCATTGTTGTTCAAAGACTTAAAAATGGATGCTGAAGTTCAAGGTATTAAATGTTACACTACAAAATTCATAATCATATCTGGAGCAATAATGGCAGTAAAAAGCTGCTTGATGCTGAAGACTCAGAAAAAAAGTGCTTCCCCCTTTAAATTGTCAGCACTCATAACTTTGAACATGAAAATCCAAATTTGTTGTGAGCACCAGAGATAAAATTGCAAAGTTTTTAATTTGTGTATGCAAATACAAAAGGTCTTTGGCTCCAGGTCTAGGCCTCTCTATACTGAGCATCTAAATTTAGCAGATGATAACATGCATGCAGGTCCTTTGATAGCTTGGCTAAGATCCAGAATAAGAATTTATCACAAACTTTCCAGCTGTGTTCACAGTATGCTTATATTGGTCACTTGCAGGTGTATTTACTTCTAACCCTGAGTTCTTCAGGAGAGTGTCAGTATGATGTTTAACTTTTGGCTCAGTGTATTGTGCCAAGTTAAAAAATGGGTTAAATTCAGCAATATTGTGCTGTGTGAATAAAGTATAGATTCCTGAAATACTCTTGGATTCCCAAATAAAAAATATTGTTGAGCTTCTAACAGCTTGTGATCAAAATTAAATTTTGTTCATTTTGTTTTGGGATTGCAAAAATGAATGGAGAATCTAGCATACAGTATAGAAAGAGGCTTCATGGATCACAAGATATGAACTGATGCTCTGACTAATGAGAAAGTATAAGCTTGAATTAGTTCTTCCTCTATACAAGGGAAGAATCTGTGCAATTTCACCTAGGAGTCCTTTTTTTTTAACATGCTCCACATGACATCTGTTGTTATGCAGATCCAATCTATGTCAAATGCCGTTTCAAACATAAAAAACCCAAAACTGACAGGTTTTATATGCATTTAGTTCAACATATTGCAGAAATCCAGGCATATTTGATGATTTAGTCTCTAGTATTTTCTGGGGGCAAATGGAACATGCATTTTTCTAAATCATGTCACTTTATCTCTCAATAGTTTTAATTACAGTGGCCAATAATGAAGGATACTGGGAATTGTAATTATACAACTTCTGGAGGGTGGCAGGTTCCTAGTTCCTTATGTGGGGAATAATAGACCAAGCAGAAGAAGACAGACCAAGCCGAATTACATGACAAATCATACCTATTCATTTCTGAACAAGACTGTATGTTTATTTAGTAGATAAGGTTGTTTGGAATTAACATACTAAAATATTTTTCTTACTCAAAACATGTGTCAAAAAGAGCAGTAGGTTTTATGCAGTAATACTTGCTAGTGGAGTATTTGGTGTATCTAGGGATGTTTGAAACTGGTACTGGGGAATATGCAGGGCATTTTGTACACATCCTGACAATGAGTAAAGGGGGAATTGAAGTATCATGAGATTCTGTGTTTCATGCAGTGCTAGAGCCAATTACATTCTAAAATTGTAGAAGTAGTATTTAATTTAGACTACAGCTTCTAGAGATACCTCAAGTGGAATCAAATCGTGCCTGGCTGAAGAGCAGTTGCAACAGTGACTCAGCAGATTAATGCAACCTGTTAAATTGACAAAGGTTTCTGACCTATTCAATCAATGCATGCAATCAGTATAGTACTCCATCATTTTGCTGAAGTACAAGATATATCAGCCATGTAATAAAAGTTCCTTTTCCAGAATGTATCCTATTTGTTCTCATCATATTTTCACAAGCAATGCTGTTTTCTTGAAATTGAGTGTTAATACTACTTATATAGAGCATTTTAGCTATCATTTTAAAAGTTAGATATAGATATAAATATAGACATATGAGCAAAAATAGCCCTTTACTTGGCTACTTTAAGATGGGAGCAGCGGGCAAGTAGTCTCTCTGCTTAACTAAGATTAAATTAACCTATTCTAATTATTACCTGCTTTTAAGGCTATTTTTCTATCATATCTTAGTCTTCAAATTTTTATTTTTATTTTTAAACCCTTTACATTTTTGAAATTTTTGCAGTGTGATCACTAATCCAACTTTTAGTTATATTTTAGCTGTGGTTTAGCTGTATTTTTAAAAAGCCCTAGCTGGCCCTCAGCTATAGGAGGGCCTTGCTGCTGCTACTTTGTTGTTGTTGTTCTAAAGATCTTACTCCTTTAGCTGGAAGTCTAGCAATGCCTAGCTTTGATGCGATTTTTTATCCACTATTTTTATTATTTTATCATCATTATTTGCTCATGTTCTCTGCTCTGTCGGGAGGGCAGGATCCTTGGTATACTTGTGTGGAGCTCTGCCATTGTTTGCATTAGGACTCGTTTCTTGTCAACTCCCGATTCCTTTTCCTCTGGATTTAGGACTTGTTTCAGGGACTAGACTCTATGCTATATTACACAGCTCCCTCTCTATTGTGCTACTTAATATAATGAAGACAAGGAAAAGGAGCAGATCTTTCACTGACCTGGTTCCTCAACCTTCTCTGAAGAAATCCAAGATTGAGGACTTTGTTTTAGCTCGACCTTTCGGTTTGAAAGCACCTGCTCCCTTTTGTCTGGCTGCTGCCAGTTGTCACGATCTTTTGATGGTTGAGGGCATCACCCCCAAGTTGAGAACAAAGACTTATCTAAAACTACAGCCCCCAACCAATCCTTAAACGAGCCCACCCTTACAGAACTTTTGGCTCAGCAATGTTTCTTGGTTGCAGAAACTACAGCAGGCATTCAGCTCCAGCTGGATAAAATAATAAGTACTTCAAACTACTTAAGTTTCCTGGACTACCAGTGGGAGCCCTGGGTTGACCTCTCGTCAGCCTGAGGCGGTGGCAGGGTTCTCCCTGCCAAGCCTCAGCAAAAGCACTGGCCAATGTAATCCTACCAATAGTTTGAACTTTACATCTTTTGATGCAAACAGTCACCTGGTCTTACAGTCAAAACAGGTGGCCCTCATCATTAATCCCATTAATGGCAACTTACCTCACTGGGGTTCAACACAGCTGGCAAGGGACCATATATTACAGTTATTGGGGCTAAAAGCTGATGATTTGAAGAAGATTGAACTTTTATCCTCTCCTGAATTCTGCACTAGAGTGCTACTCAGTTTTGACAACTCCAACACCCCACAACTATTTTTCAGAAGAGGATCCCTGTTAAGATCCTTTGGCATTTTGCCAAGAAGAGTCTTCAAAGTTTTGTCGATTAAGCCACTCTTGGGTAATCGACAATTTGTGAGTGGCAGGAGATTTATTGCCTCCAAAAGATCCTCAGCAGCACGTATTAATGTGCCAACCGTGAATGCCATCTCGGATACTACATCACATACTAATTATACACCTATTTCCACAAAACCTCCAGTTGGCATCCTCTCAGATGGTAGCCTGACTGTTCCTCTTAGAACTGGTCAAATTAACCAACCGCAGCGAGTAGCAATGTAGTTTGCTGTTTTTTAATCTCCTCTGATTGTCTTGCCATATTAATAGCTTTATCCAGGTCTAGGTCTTTTTCCATTTGCATGCGTTCTGATAGCCATGTATCGACCAAGCCTACTACAATCCTGTCTCTGATGAGCTCCTCATGTAGCGCTCCATTGTTACAGTGTTCTGCTAATACATACAGTGCTGTGACAAATGCATCAACTGTCTCATTTGCTCCTTGTTTGCGCATATTAAATCTTGCACGCTCATACACAATGTTCTTTTTTACTACAAAGAATGACTGAAAGCCATCTCTTAGTATACTGACGCTGATCAGCTTCACTGAGTTTCAGGCCACGCA